TTGGACAAACGCCATACTACTCAGAGAGCTGTTGCTCTATAAATTCAGAAAAATGTGCATTCACTTTTTATTAGTACTGAAATTAGCATGACCTTCACATCAATCTCCCCAAAAGATCCTTAATTAAAAAAAATGCTAGAAGAAATTATTAGTGTTTAATTAAATAATGCATTACTACACAGCAGCATAGAATTACTACTTGAAAGAAATGAGAATCTTCTGTGTGTTATCACCAGGTGAGTTAGCAGTATTTTGGAAAATCTATGACTCTTTAACAGAACCTGTAAGAAAATTTTGTAAAAATGCAAACTCTCCTGATAGCTGAACTTAGCAATTTCTGAGTTGCTCACAGTTTATTTTCAGTCTTTTTACAAAAACAGTAGCTGATTCAAATCATCCATCTTGTCAGATGGTACATTGTAACATCCTTGGTTTATGGATCTCACATGCACATACACTCTATTAGAAAAATTTCTAAGTACGATTAGCAAACAAATAATATTTATTAAAGAAAAGAAGAAAAAAAACCCCACAGCTCCCTGGACAGATAAACTACTTTTCTTGATAAACACAATAATCCTTTTACTTGAATTTCAGGTGTTCATGAAAGGTGATAGAAATTGTGAGGATTAACTCTAAAATAAAAATTTTGATTCCGGAATTGCAAAGATTAAAACTTTTCCTAGGAATAAATCTACTGAAGAGTCATATTTCAGATCAGACACACCATATCTTAGGCTACCCCCCTCCCATCATAATTTTCAGCAAGGTCAGTATTAGGCTGCCCTTGTTAGTCCAAGCTATTGACCTATATGTCTAAAAAGAATGGGAGTTGCCTTATTGCATGTTGTCATCTGGAACACCATATAGCAAACTTTTGTGAGTATAATTTCTTCTAATTCAAGAAATATTTTTAAAAAGAAATACAAAATAAAGATCTTCCATACTTCTGCCATCAATACTGATGAAGTTCCTACATGGTTTAATTCAGCTGTTTTCAGACATTTCTTTTTCAGGTGAAAAGAGTAAAAATCCTAACTCTTCTCTACCACAATAAACTGTCATAGATATATGACAAATATAATTATAAGAAAGCTGTCTGTTAGCAATACCACAATTACGAAAAAATATTTTGTGAGGGTCCAGTACTTTAGGGGAGAAAAAAGTGTACCTGACCTAACAGTCACTTGTCTTATCTTCCAATATTCCCACAGAGAGACTCATGGGTATCTTCAGAACAAAAGATACTTCAACTCTGGCACACACTTCCCATACCATAAAGCCTCTCTATGGGCAAGGATTTAATCTGAATTAGTAAAGACACTGCCTTCTAGGCTTTGAGTTTCACAAAATGTTGTCATCTCACTTTTGGTCATTTGCACTGGAGTTCAAATCTAAGTCAGATATCCACTAGCAGCATAATGCAGCACCCACTATATTTCTGTCCCTTGGAAAGTCTTCAAAAGCAAGTCTTTCTTGTTGCACTCACAAATAAATCTCTGTAATACTTACTGATACAACTGATGCTCAAATTTAGGTCTAATCCATGATCACTTGAATGTTCTTTGATGCTTTATGGAACTGCTACAGGTACAATTGCTGCAGGACCCTCACTAACACTATCATTTTATTCAGCCTACTAAAGAAACAGATGCTTTCTTTTTTAGTGTTTAACACTGCTTATGTTGCTTATAATCTTTTATGCATTTTATTTTCTTACTCCAAAGTGTACACAATGAAAAAAGAAACAAAGTTCCTTTGCATCTCTAGTTCTGGGAAACTAGAACTGTTTTCCACCAAAACCAAAGTGTTCTAAATTAAGCACTAGGTCCTTATCCCATGTACTCACATTAAGCAGCACCTCATTCCCAAGGAGCCATTGATTTCATTTAGATTATTCTGCAGGATGCAGATCAGGATACTGCTGGAACGTTAAGTGCCTGTTTAAAGTCTGTCCTACACAGAGGAGCATGCAAATTGATTCAGACCCAACAAACAGAAGAGATACTGTTCTGAACTGGAAACATAGTAATAGCCTTTCCTTCTTCAACAGTGTAGAAGTGATTAAGCAAAACATTATAATCAAATTATTTGAAGACTATTTATTAAAACAGATGAAAAAGAACTTTTACTGTAGCTACTTGTCTGTAAAATTTAACAATGCTATTGTTCCTCAGTTACAAATTTTATTTTTATTCTTTAGAGTTTATTCTATGAGGCATTCAATGTCAGTTGCTAATGAAAGCACTTGCTCTTGGTCTGTAGAATGCGTGTAAAAGAAAAATAGATGTGGTCAGTCATCTAGAATGACAGAAAGAACAAAAAAAAACCAACCAAGCAAAGTAAAAGATAAGAAAAACAAACAAACAAAAAAGAAACCTAAAAAATCAGGAATAAAACAGAGGAAAAAATAAAAAAAAAAAAAAAAAGGAAGCCTGTGGGACTTGTCTGACCATGCTATACAAGCAAAGCACATGATTCCAGATGATTTAAATGACCTGTGACAAAAGGACAGTTAACTGTCTGTGAAATGCCAATCATCCTTAGCTGGAATGAACCTACTGATTCAAGACCTAGTCTTAATCCCAGAGGAAATCAGGGTAAAGTGCTCAAAAGTCACTAGCCTAACAATGAGACTTCCAAGAGAAAAGAAACTCCTCATCACCACACGAATATCAATCAGTTAATGAGTTATGCATTCAGTATGCAAATAAGATAGGGGGGTGTAATTGGTGAAGCAGATCATCCACTATTTTCTACAGTGCAGCTGCAAAACTAAACAGGGCAAAAGTGTAAGATAAAGCCTTGCTGTAAAATAGAAAAAAATTAAATATGCATTTCACAAAGACGTTTAAATAACAAGTTCAGCAAAAGTAATAGATATTATGGCACAATAATTAAAGTCGTATTTCTGAGTGATAAAATCTTTTAATAAATAATGCCAGAATGGGGTTGGTGGAGTAATGGTGCCACAGTGTGTGTTGGTAATTGAGCAACGATATGTCATGGTTTAACCCCAGCCAGGAACTAAGCACCACGCAGCCGCTCACTCACTTCTCCCCCCACCCAGTGGGATGGGGGAGAAAATCGGGAAAAGAAGTAAAACTCCTGGGTTGAGATAAGAACGGTTTAATGGAACAGAAAAGAAGAAACTAATAATGATAATGATAACACTAGTAAAATGACAACAGCAATAATAAAAGGATTGGAATGGACAAATGATGTGCAGGGCAATTGCTCACCACCCGCCGACCGACACCCAGCCAGTCCCCAAGCGGCGATTCCCCGCCCCCACCCCCCAGTTCCTATACTAGATGGGACGTCCCATGGTATGGAATACCCCGTTGGCCAGTTTGGGTCAGGTGCCCTGGCTGTGTCCTGTGCCAACTTCTTGTGCCCCTCCAGCTTTCTCGCTGGCTGGGGATGAGAAGCTGAAAAATCCTTGACTTTAGTCTAAACACTACTGAGCAACAACTAAAAACATCAGTGTGTTATCAACATTCTTTGCATGCTGAACTCAAAACATAGCACTGTACCAGCTACTAGGAAGACAGTTAACTCTATCCCAGCTGAAACCAGGACACTATAGCCTGAGCTTGAACTCATAATTTCTTTCTATCTGGGCTGCTAGATGTCCTGTATGTTGGGGAACAGTACAGTCTGATCGGTAAAAGGAACATCTATATCCCATATAAAGCACACAGACCTGTATTAGTAAGTTGTATTTGCACAGCATGAAACTGTCAAAAGCTAATGTCAGATTTGTCATGCAAATAAAACCAGCCTTTATGGAGACAGTGTAGGCAGTGTGTTCCTCTTGTTTCAGAGAAAAATTCAGAACCATTCACCTTGAGATGTTCATAACGGTGAGACAGATTCTCCTATACGTTTTTCATTACTCTTCCACACCGTTAGCACTGCTAACATTCTACCAATTTATTTCTGGTTTCTGCTTTGTGTCTTTTTATTATACTTGTATTTTGAGAAACAGGGATGTGGCAACAGCAACAATTAATTAATAAAACAGACAGACATAATAGCAATCACATAACATTTGCATAAACAGATATTACACTCCTATGCCTTGCAAGATTTAACATGAAATCCTATGATAATTTTATTTAGCTCAAAGGGAGAGCAGAATGTTTATGATAGTTTCCCATAAATCTTAAAAATATCTCTGCAAAATACAATTACAGTATCTATAAAAATGTCTATAGAAATGAATAGTAAAAGGTTTCTATTATTTTTTTTAGCTATCTTCTAGAATTAAATAAAAACTTAGCATTACAATAGTTCCAAAACCTACAATATTATTCTATGTAACATTTTATAGATCTTCCAAATAATTGTCTACAAAGCTCAGTTTCTTATCCACAAAATTCAGTATGATGCTTAAATAAGAAATCTGACACATCATGTAAAAACAGCAGTACATAAATCACACTATTACACTGTTCCAGCTGAAGTCCATCTTTATTAACATAATGTGCTGGTAAAACTAGTGACCCTTGCAGTGTGGACTGGCAGTATGCATGAAGTCTGGTGTTGTGCTACCATATGAAGCAACCAAAGCAAGAGAGGACAGCAGACAATTCCTCTACCAGCAAAGCCCTGCCGTAACAGTTACCCATCAACTGCCTTATCAACTCCACAGACAATACTCAGATATGTAAGTACATTGAGGTATCTGTATTCACTGCAAAAATCACTGATTGTGTCATTCCTATTGCATTCAGTGGCTCCAATATTCAAGGGTGAGTGCAGAGAAACAATACTGTAGACATGCATATAACTTATTCATTATCTTATTGCTGCTTCTAAGGTGAGTATTGCTAAGATCTACTCTCAAAAGATAATGTATTGAAATACACTTAGTGTTAATGGTATAAAATGAAATATCAAGCTGTGGGAGTAAATGCATACATATGCATGTGTGTGCGCAGGATATTTTTGCTTTCTATAAAGTACATCTTAAAGAAAAAATAAAAACTACTTACACCAGAATAGAAAGGCTCACCAGACACACAGATCACATCCTGCTCCTGGATCATCAAAATATCTTTGGCTAAGTGCAGTCGCACTTTGAAAGGCTCCTGGTTACCATCCTGCAGCAAACAAATCCCTGTCTTTGTCTTCAAAGGAAGGAATAAAGAAAAAGGGTTTTCTCAGTTAGCACTTTGCATTGGTAGAAGTGGTATTTTGAAACAGAATAGCTGAGATATAGGTACAGTTACCATAAATACGTCAACAAATATCCAAAACTATTACCAGTAATCACTGTATTTATTTACTGTGCTCAGACTACAAGGGAACGATGGTTATAGCAGTAACTAGTGAAGGCAGATTTTGCAATAATAAGGTGCTACTCTGCCCATGATGAATTTGAGAAACTCCTTTCAAATTGTTTCAGAGCAGCTGTACTTTTATATTCCATCTTTGTATTAAATGATGACACCTCCCTTGGACATGAAATACAAGCTGATGTTCCACATATTACACCAATTTTGACACAGAAATACATAAAATAACACCTCCTTACTAGCCAGATGTGAGCATTGACAGCCTCCATGAACCTGTTGTGGGCTTTTCCTGACCTGTGAGCCCAACACTGACTTAAGCTTTTATGTTCCTTTTCAAACGAAGCTGCTGAAGTTAAGAGTAAGAGAAAAGAGATCAAAGAATGTAACTCCCTCTAGTAACTTACTTCTTGCTCCACTTCTGTATTTTACATTTATGGTTAGAGATGAGGAATTCTGTAGGAATCTTCAATATACAATAAGTGACTTTTCAACAATTTGTTATAGTGTCTTTGTGGTAGTACCTATTTGTGCTACTTTTGGGGGCTTTACACATAAGACGTTTGAGCAGTGAAAAAGTCTGCACATGTAAAGCACCTGCAGTACTTAACAATTTTTCCCTTAAGGCTGTGTTGAAAATAGCACTCTATAACACTTCATAAATGGAAAAAAAATCATGTTAGTATGAGAAATTTGCTTACAGTCTAAAAATTTAGCCTTACAACATGTAATTTACCAGTATTAGATACCTATACCTATTTGCATAGATACTGATATATATGTATGCACACATGTATCTCAGAAGAAAATTCATATATAAAATGTATTTAAAATCTTGGACTCATCAGTATCAATAATAAAACTTCCATTGTCTTCATTCAGGTCAGATTTCAATCCACTGTCTGTAAAAAGTTGGCTTGAGAAGAGATCAAGGAAACAAAAGTCTTGCTGTGAACTTTTAACTGCCAAGGTTGACCCGGCTGAATCTGAGGGCTCTTTCTCAGATAGGTTTAAAAGAAGATTTGGAAGATCTCCCCATAACGTGCTCTGATACCTTACATCCACAGCATGGAGAGAACAAACACAAATATGGAACTGACAGTAAGCAACTGGCAGAAGAAAAGTTTAAGTAGCTCTCAAGAGGCTTTGAAAGAGGTGGAAAGGTCGAGGACAACCTCTAAATAGCCCTATATAATGTTCTCCACTAACAAACTGTTCTGTCACTTCTGCTCCATGCTCAACACTCAAACTTAGGAAATTGTTTTCCCTTGGACACCGGTAGCAAATGTGTCTAAGTAACCCAGCCATAACTTTGAAAGTGGCTCTGACATTGTTTTTATTCTTTTTAAACTAAGAAGAAGAAAAAATTAAGAGTTCCACGCACTGAGCTCACACTGAGGTCAGTGGAAGCTCTGTTCAGAAGACATTATACAGCCTTGTTCTAATATTTAGGTGTCTTTTTTTTAAACAGGATGAGATAGAAACAAATCAAATAAATGGATCGCGAAAGGAGTTAGGTTTTCAGTACCACTGAAAAATTCTCTCTCATATCATACATAAAATGTTACATTAAAAGAAACAGAATGTAAAATAATATTAAATTCCCCTGGTCCTCTCCTTATAACTTCTTCTTTACAGACTAAGATGACTCCTCTTCCCATGGAGTTGTGAAGTAAGCAGTAAGTGACAATGGAAATTGAACAAAGTTGGCTGTAAATAACTATGGTCAAATAAAAGGGGCTAGCATACAAACATCTACCACTTATAAAATGCCTTTCTCCTGCAGAAAAGTTTGCAGATGTGCCTTTCCTCCTCCCTGGATAACTGGCAATGGAATAAATTCTGCCTCTGATACACTGATGATAGTAACTCTGCCTTACTTGACTACATGTTTCTGATTTGGTCAATAACCCTAGAAAATCTCCAAAGAGTCTTTCTGCAAAAGCTGAGGGGCTTCTTTCTGGGAATCAGAGGCATACAATCATAGCAGACACAATTAGCCATTAGAATAAAATTAAAATTCAAGCTGGTTTCTAAATGCATGTGGGCTGAGCTTATTCAGCCTGAACAAGGAAAAGCTTGGGAACAGCAAAATATTTTGGCCCTTGAATAGATTGATCGCACACACTCAGGGATCTTTTTTACATCAGACACTCTAAAATGTAATGAACCACTTTACTGTTGTTGGGCTTTATGAAAGATGGTTTATGATACAGTTCAAAATTAAATATTCAATTATACTACCTCCTTTCCTCTCCTACCTGAAAGCAGCATTAACAACCATGTAACGGAGAAGAATGTACTTCAATTTCATTAGATAAGCTCAAGAGAAGTCCTTGAGAACAAAGACTGGAATTTAATTATTTCACTATGTTTCATTTTTGTCTGCTGAATTTCTTTTTTCTTCTCTCCCCTGCCCCCTTCAAAGCATCCAGTAAACTGAATTGAATAAAGATATGAGCTCCTGCATCCTTATCCAGAGCTGGAACTTAGGGAAGACATCCTGTATATATGTTTTCATGTAAATTACTGTGCACATCATCATTTTTCATTCATATGGCCCCAGTAAAATTATTTGATTGGAGAGAGATCATCTGACTAGCCTATACCCCTGCCATCTCTTACATTTGAAGAGCTTAGATGGTGTGCATGTATGTGTGTGGATGAGGTGTGGGGGTGCAGGGTTGTGGCCAATGTTGGCTTTTGTTCCCGTCACTAATTTTTAAGAGATTCCATGAGAGAGTATGCTAAAATTTTGCCTTCAAGCCTTCTACATTTCACTGGCACAGGGCTCTTCCCTACCCCTGACTTACAGCAATAAAACAGCATACGGCATGTCAGCCAAGCTACTGTAACTGTCAGTGTGAGGTCATGCAAGGCACCCTCTTGTGCTCAAATGTATGATAAACTGCATCGCCTTACAGCAGACATGGATAGGGAAAATAGCTTAGCTGATAACAGTTTGTTAAGCCAATACACCTTGACTGTATGTTTGAGCCCAAATTGCCAGGAACATTGCCCTGCTTACTTTTATACCATCCTACTTTCTTCATCCTATTTCTAGAGTTCAGAACCTGTTGTAAAGAGGACAAGAAAACCGAGTGTTTAAAGTTGCACATGTTTATGAAGTAGATGAGGTAGGCTAAGCAATGGATATGGAAGCAATATACAGTGGTGAAAGAATGAGTTTCCAATTGGGAAAGGAGTCAGTGATTTCAAGCAAAAGCAGTGATGAAGGAAGGCAGCAGTACCTAAGTGACAGATGCAGTGAAAGTTGCACCTGCACAGTACTGCCTATGTCATCTCATTCTACACCCTTTTAAGCTGAGTTAGACAAGAACACTGGTGCAGCAAGAGCTGATGTCCTTGGCAGGAGTTAAGAAACTGCTTACTGTTCCTGAACTAATATAACTACAAGAGGGGCTGCAAACTGATCCCTCTTTGCTTTGCCACGCCAGCCTGTGTTGAACTTTCTGCTTCAGATCAATATCAGAGAACAGCACAGGCTGGCAGAGCCCTCAAAGCAGACTGCTTCTACAAAGAATATGGTCACACTCAGATCATTACTAGCAACAAGGCAGTGAAAAAAGACCTTTTAAAAATCTTCCTCCATTATACCCTGACTTACAGCACATTGTCCATATTGGGTGTGTATAAGATCTGGCCCTAATAGCTTTCCTAAAAGGAATTTAGAAACACTAACATACCATAAATGGCTTGGTGCAATATATATGGCCTTCACAAATATTTAAGAATAAATTTCAGAGGAAATACAAATGAAAATGACAGTTTATACATTTATGCTAGCAGCAGAGTCTCTACTAAAATTAACACTGTATGAGAAATATCTTTAAAGTTACCTATTGATTTCAGTTTCCTGCAGGACTTCCAACATAAATATTTTTTAATTTATCTGGCCTAAATAAGACTACTGGCAGGTTTTTTGCTGAAGAATTTTTTTCTTTACATTTTTCTCTATTTGTTGTTTTCCTTGTCATTTATGATAAGAAAAAAAAATTCTAAAACATTTTCTTTGTTTTGTTCTGGAGGAGACTTATTCAGTATTTCAAGTAATTTTAAATACTCTTCATTAGTTTTCAAGACATGACTATATCTTTTTTTTTATGCTATTTTATCTATTTCTTTTGCCTTATGGTAATAAAACAATTTGATTAGCTTTACTTCTTCTAGTTTCACATCAGTAGGAATATCCCAGAATAGTTTAGTCCATGAACCAGTGGAAGAAAGGAAGAGAAAAAAAAATATCTCAACACATTTTCTATGCAAGGTGGCCTGGATTTTTAGTTTCTGCTTTGGCTGGTATGTCCTAAAATAAATTAAAACTCTGCAATTAAGTTTTAAGCCCTGAAATTTATTTCTACCATCAAGAATTCAATACCAGTAAGGAGAATAGGTTGCAGAAACTGCCTTAAATATGTACACAGTTCACTTCAGATGAGTATCTACGCTTTTGGATGCTTATTTGAACTGAGGCTGACCTCTGAGTATTTGGAGATATGCCTGTCACTGCTTTACAAACACAAGTATAATAATAAAAAGGCAAATTGAATCAGAGGTATAAGGCAGTAATGGCAATGAATACAAGAAGTAGGAATATGCATCAGAACCACATAAAGGATGTTTTTTAAATGGTCCAGCTACTTGTTCTGAGGAGGTATTGCTAGTGTAAGTGAAAAGCACTTATATTGTCAAAAATTGGAATGCAGCCCAGATACACAGGGATGTGTTCATCTTGTCATTCAGAGCCTTTTCTATCAGACACCGACATTATCCAATCCAAAGGATAGCAAATCCATTCCTGCACATGACTTTTA